AATGACTCGTATCGCAGAGGCAGCTTACTCGCTGGGAACACACTCCCCACGCTTTCCTGCCCTTCAAGTAGTGGGGTGGACTACTACTGGGGCAGCAGCTACGACTGAGGATGAAACTCAACACGACAAACATCCCCCTATGGAAGCGCGCACAGCTGTCAGGAACAGGCAAGAGGGATTTACAGACACACAGCTGGCTGAGCGGAAAAGGACAGCCCGAGAAACCCAGCCCTACAGAGGCTTAGAGCCTAGAAAGGGCAAGGCTTGGCAGCAAAGGTCCTTGTCTTAGGGTGACTACTGCTTGTGATGAGACACCATGACCAAAGGCAAGTTTGACAAAAACTAGATGTTTCTAGAAATTATAAAAGAACCAGAAATGCTTGAATATTTGAAAGCAAATGCCCTCTCCTGTTTTGAGATAAGGTCTGACGTATCCCAGGCTGACTTCAAGCTAAATATAGCTGAGGATGGCCTTGAACTTCCTGCTTCTATCTCCCAGCTGCTGGTGCGAGTTTACGATCAAACCCGTGGCTTCATGCTTATTAGGCGAACACTCTACCCACAGAGATAAAGCCCCGCCTCAAGCAGATGGTTTTAGTGGTTACGTCTCTGTAAAGACAAAGACGTGCGGGTGACGTTACAGCAGGTGACGCTACAGGAAATGGTTCTGCCTGGAAAACGCAGCGCTTGGCTGGGTCCTCGCTTTTCTTCATATTCAGAAGGTGAAACGTGAGGTCTGAGGGGTGTTTGTCACACTGCAGGATTTGAGAGGCGTGTACTCTTTCCAGTCCCCACCCCACGCTGCCAGTCCCACACCTGTGCAGAGAGGAAGTGACCTCATCACATCCACAAGGCCCACAGAGTCCAGCATCCCTCTCCATCTTTTTCCAAGCCACCCACGACAGCAAGGCACCACCACGCCTCTTTGGCCCCTTCAGCTAGAAGCCTTCTCAGCTGTATACCAAGAAACTCCGCTGGACTCTGGGCCAGGAGCACACTGAGACTTTTGGCAACTGGATAAAGCAAGAGGCTTCAGGGCACCGAGATCTGGAATAGCGCCCCAATTCGGGCCAGCACTGAGTCTGTGGGTATGCGACATGCAGGGAGTGTCCTGGTGCACAGTGTCCCAGGGGGTGACCTCCTCAGTTCAGCTGAGGTGGCACCCTTTCGGTTTTGCTGAGGAGACACTGAGAACAAACAATACCCTTTTTTGATTCACACAACTGACCATCCAGGCTTGCCAAATTGAAGATGGGTCTGACTGGGACAATTTTATGTGATGGGACTATGGAGATGGAAAATAAAAAAAGCTTCGGCTATTAAAAAAGAAAAGGCAATAGACCATCTTCTAAATAAACAAACAGTTTTCTGAAGAAGAAAACAGCCTTGACCAGGGTCAGGCCAGGGCAGATGGGATCACCCAGGCTCTCAGCCCCTCCCCCTGACCCCCAGGTTTCCCTCTGCCACACTGGGGAGCCTGGCCAAGAGGCAATCTGGTGAGCTCAGCTGCAGCAGTCATGTGCAGAGCACCGTGTTCATTTCTGGGAAAGGGGGCGCCGTCCAAGTCACCGAGACAGAATTCCACCAGGGAATGTCCCAAGGGCTCCTCAAGCCTGAGTCCAGCCAGGCATTTTCAGGGCAACTTTCAACACTGGGGGCTTGAAAAAACCATCCAGGGCTGGGGAGGCAGCTTGGTGACAGAGCACTTGCCTAGCGCGTGGGAAGCCCTGGGTTTTTTTCTCAGCACTGAAAACGGCAAAAAGCGAAAGAAAACCCATTCCCCTGTGCTCTGCTGTCGGTTTGCAGTTTCTCCTTCTAAAGACTGTGGTGCTTCACTTAGGCGAACTTAGGAGGAGGGTGACACATGGAATGCTCTACAGCAGTGGTTCTCAACCTGTGGGTCGCGACCCCTTTGGGGTCAAAAGACCCTTTCACAGGAGTCACATACGTGTCAGATATCCCGCCCATCAGATATTTACATTACGATTCGTAACCTAGCAAAATTGCAGTTATGGAATAGCGATGACGCGACTTTATGGTTGTTGGCGGTGGGGGAGGGGCCACCACAACAGGAGGAGCCGCATTAAAGGGTGTTAGGAAGGTTGGGAACCGCTGCTCTACAGGAGGGCACGGAAGTCCGACAGAGCAGAAGAACCCAGGTGACCTCCCTTCAACTCCCACATGCTATTTGAAAGGCAGAACTTAGAAGATTCATGTCCTCCCATGGGGATCCCCAAACAACCCAGGCTGAAGCTAGAACAGAGTTGTTCTCCAAAGATTGACAGGGGGACCGGGTTGCAGAGGACAACGTCCACACAGCTCATTGAGTGCAGAGAGATTTGGCTGGTGCCTGCAAGGAGCCTTCATCCCTACTTTCTAGTCTCTTTGGTGTGCCAAGGCACTCTGCAGGCTATGGAAAGAGTGGCACCAACCCAGTGTCCACAAAACCTTTGACCTACAGTCTGTCCTGCCTGCAAGACGGGCAGGGTCAATGGTAGTGCAGAACTTGTTTAAGGGGCCAATCAATGTCTGAGTTTAACTTGAGGCTCACTCCATGAGAGGGAGCCCATGACCTACACTGCCTTCATGGCCAGGAACTGGAGAGACTGGATAGCTCAGAGACCTAGGGTAGAACCAAATACAACTGGGAAAAAAAAATCAATGAAACAATTCTTAATAGATCGGTGCCTTGTTCAGTCATCATCAGAGAGGCTTCCTCCAGCAGTAGATGGGAGTGGGTACAGAGACCTATAGCCAGGCATCATGAAGAGGCATTCTAGATTGACGGTCTCTATTGGGTCCCTCCCCTCAGAGCTTGGAGAACTCTATGGAAGAGGAGGAGCAAAGACTGTAAGAGTCAGAGGGGATGAAGGACACCAGGAGAACATGGCCCACTGAATTGACTAAGTAGGCTCACGTGGTCTCACAGAGATGGAAGTGGAATGCCTACATGGCTTTGCACCGGGTCCTTTGCATGTATGTAATGGCTTTTAGCTTTGTGTTTTTGTGGGACTATTAATTGTCTGAGCGGATGTGTCTCTGACTCTTTTGCCTGCTCTTGTGACTCTTTTCCTCCTATTGGGTTGCCTTGTCCAGCCTTGATATGAGGACACACACACACACACACACACACACACACACACACACACACACACACACACACACGGTATTTGTTTCATCCTATTGTATCTCATTCTGTCATATTTGGTTGTTGTCTCTTGGAGGTCTGCTCCTTTCTGAAGGGAAACAGAGGGGGAGTGGATCTGGGAGAGAGGAGAGGTTGTGGGGGAGCTGGGAGAAGTGGAGGGAGGGGAAACTTTTGAAATGTATTGCATGAGAGAAGAATCTATTTTCAATAAAAAAACAAAGAAGATTCACTTCCACATCTTTGGCTTCTCAGCATTTTCTTAGTATTAAGACTAAGTCAGATCTTTGAAATATATTTTTAATTAAGTAGAATGTACCCTTTAAAAAAGAACATAAACCTATTGTAAGAGTCAATACAAATAACAAAGATAATTAGAAAACATTATTCCTTTGGGAAGTGAGACTGTATTTTGAGTGTGTATATCATGTCACTGAATCAACTATATATCAGTAGCCATACTCCTAACTAGTAATGTAAAGACAAAGATTAGGGCACTTGATACCATAAACAACAACAACAACAACAAAAATCTAAAAAAAAATCACAGAAGCCTCAGGTAAATAAAGACGCATTGAACTGCTTAGAAATTTTTAAGAATTATTACCATGAGTTATTTTGGGGGATTACCAAGTTCTAAACAGGAAACTGGTGTACATTGCATAGACAATAGTCCTAAACTCACTTTATGCGATGTCTACAGTGCACATACATTTTGACAAAGATGCCACGTGAGGCTGGGGTATAGTATGTGGATGCTCAGAGTGACTTGAGGGCACTTGAGACTTTCATATAAGGAGGCTCAGCCTGCACTCATGGAGAGTGGCAGCTTTGGTTCTGGTCCGGGCACCTACCACCTGGAGGCACAGGACCGAATGAGGTGTTTAACCTTTCCTTTGTATCTCTTGAACAGATCTTAAGACATGAAAGTGACACCACGGTGACCTTGAAGAAGGCCTCAGCACCAATTGCATACTGAGATTTTTAAGAATCAAAGGGGGTTTGGGTATTGTGATAACTCCATGACTAGCTTCTCTTGGAGACAAGACTAGTGAGGACCAATAGTAGACACAGGTGCTGTATATACTCCATCCAGCACTGGGAACACATCTGCATTAATACCCCAGCACTTTCCAGTCCTGCCCACACCCAACAACATGAGATAACCTGTGAAACTCACCAGGCTTTCACACACAGAGGCCATGATCTCTGCCTCCTACACATGGGGCTCAGTAAGTTTTTGTCACTCTGTCACCAAGAGATGAGAAACGTGCCTTTCCTCTGTGCATAGCAGGCTGGAGCATGGCACAGAGCTCCGCCTCCCATTTTTGTGAGTAGTTCCTGTGGTGGTTTTTTTTTTTTAAGCAACTGGAGGCCAACAATAGTGTCCTCTATGGAGATTCAGAAAAGCCAAGTGCAGCACTGCCCATAGGCACTGTCAGCACAGGGCGGGTAGGGGGAGCAGGACTTGAAATCTGAGAGCTAGAAGGCTCAGGGGAACAGGACTTCTAGGTCCTTTAAGAATCTCCAGGTCCTCAAGTGAAAAATCCACTCCCTCAAGAGGTTGCCATGGGAACTGAATAGGACAAAGAATGAGAAGACATTTTGTGAACCTCTGAGAGAGAGATTTCCCAAACACATCTGTTCTTAACGATGGGAGTGTCAGGTCAGGACTCCCAAGGAATGTCCTAAAGCCCAGCGATGAAGACAAAGCAAATCTGGAATCAGTTGAGGTGCTCCGGGTCATCTGGAACATGTTCTCACCCACAAAGGCTTTCACAGTGTGGGAGCTCCCAACCTGGACTCCCTACTCCAAGGCAGCAGAGAACCAACTCGGCCACCCAACGGAACTTACCAGGTAGCGCTCCTCCTGCCTCATGCTGGGGGTGCGGATCATGTGATTCTGTTCCCCTCTCCAGTCTCCAAAGCGACGGAAAAAGTAGTTAGATAGAAACCTACTGACGGGGTCTCTAATGATGTTGATGTAGACGGGCTGGTCTCCTCCAAACCTAACACACAGGGCACACAAACAGGGAGCTTGTTACAACTCATCCTTTCTGCAAGAAAATAAGGCCTGCTGGGATAAATTTTCCCTCTAGGTTAACTCAATCCAACCTTTACCCATCTTGCCAAGGTGCCTCCCACCACTTTAATAGGCAACTGTAAATCAATAGGCATTTTGTTCCCATGCAGGAAACAGAAATGTATGATCCAGGTGCCCATTAAGACACTCTGAGACCAGTTGCTCACCACCTCATCTTCTGAGACAGGGTCTCTCACTGAGCCTAGACTGACTGGCCAGACAGCTCTAGTGACCCACCCTTCCTGTCTCTGCCTTCCCAGCCCATGTCATGCTGCATCTGGCTTCTTACATGGGTGCTAGGGAACTCAACTCAGGTTCTCGTGTTTGTATGGCAAGTACTTTACCAACTGAGCCATCCCCTCACCTCTGGGCTAGGGGTGAGCACTTTTTGGGGTTCTGCAACAAACAGCAGCCCTATTCTAGCTGATTCCCAACCTTAATAGTTTTGAGGAGCACCTGCTCCTACATACATTGCAGATTTACAGGGCAATGCTTATGTTTCTTTAGTAGGTTGAAGCAGATAGCTTCTTTCACATTTCGGGCTCCCTTCCAGAAACTTTTTCCTGAAAGTACCAACTCTATAGTAACATTACATGTGCACCCAAGCCCTGAGACCCGATCATGCTAGTTTACATGACCCAACTGAAGTAAAGTGAGACCAGTTTAGCACAACACTGTCCTCATCACGTTAAGGTCCAAATGTCTAGTTTGCTCAGTAGGTACAGCTTGTTAAGGACTAGACTTTCTATTCCTAGTGGCTGGTGCAGAACCTATTGGCTTAAAGGTGGCCCCGGGTGATTGTTTCAATCCATTACTTGATCCTGATTGCCTTGGTGGTGTCTTCTATAATACTGTAGTTCCCATCATCTCAGCCAGGTGCTCCAGGGTAAGTGGACTGGAAACAGTCACTGTCACTGAGTAGCCACTATTCATGTGTTCTTAATACTTGGCACAGTAAACCCAGGGAAGATCTCTGATCCTCCATGGACTAAAAAACCACAGTTATCCCCATTATGCCTGGGGAAACTGAGGCAGAAAGATGATAAATAATGTGTGGCTATGCCAGTGGATGAACAGAGGTCATCTGGATTTAGAATCTTCACTTTCTTTCTTTCTTTCTTTCTTTCTTTCTTTCTTTCTTTCTTTCTTTCTTTCTTTCTTTCTTTCTTTCTTGGTTTTTTGAGACAGTTTTTCTGTATTGCTTTGGAGCCTGTCCTGGAACTCGCTCCGTAGATCAGGCTGTGTTCGAACTCACAGATATCTGTCTGCCTCTTCCTCCCGTGTACTGGGACTAAAGGCGTGCGTCACTAACACCTGGCTCAGAATCTTCACTTTTTTTTTTTTTTTTTTGGTTTTTACGAGACAGGGTTTCTCTGTATTGTTTTCGAGGCTGTCAGTCCAGCCTGGCCTCAAACTCACAGAGATCCGCCTGCCTCTGCCTCCCGAGTGCTGGGATTAAAGGCGTGCGCCACCACCACCCGGCCCAGAATCTTCACTTTTAACCACAGAAAGTTCCAGAGTTAAGAAATGCAATGATGCAACGATATAAGAAAGAAGTACAAATCAAGCTAATTATCCTCAAGTGATGGCATTATTCCCCAGCACTGGGGAGGCAGAAACAGGAGGCTTATGAGTTTGAGGACAGCCTAAGCTACCAATGAGACTCCATCTGTTAGTATCTATCTAACAGGCATGTCCAACATCTGACAATGTGATAGATGCTGTCATCTCCAAACCTGTGCTCTGGAATTATGCAACTGAGTTATAAACAAAGACCCGTGTTTCCTGATGGGTTAATGATTTTCAGGTTTTGTGTTGGGCTGCATTCATGGCTATTCCATGGTGATTTGGGCCAGGGGCTACAGGGTGGCCATTCTCCAGCTTTAATACCCCCACAAGGATCCCACATCTGCACTAAGAACCTGTCCAAGTGCAGGACCATCAAGACCAACATCAGAGACCTGAAATTCCCTTCAGGTCTCTTCCCCCTTCTCTGAACTGCTTAAAGGAAGTGATCCCAGAGGGCTTATGGCAGGACCTCAGGCTCTGGGCAGAGGCCACTTTCTAGTGACCTTAGGAGAGAACTATGGCCCTGTGATGAGGTTCTAGTGACCTCCGAGAGAACCTGCAACCCCTAGCTGATGAAAGTGCTGGGCATTCGGTCAAGGGACAGACAGTGCCCAGATAAAGCAGCTGGACGGGGCAGCTCCCACCTCTCTTGTTAGAGGACACGACTCACCATTCAAAACCCAGCCTGAGTCATAATCATAACTTTAGTGACTGTTCTGTTGGTTTTTTGGAGTCAGGGTCTCATGTAGCTCAGGCTGACCTCAAACTAAGGCTGCCCTGAACTCGTGATCCTGCTAGGCCTTCAGGTACATCAGGTTTTATATACCAGTAGCAACTAATCTCATTGTACTCCTTCCCTGAATTCCGGCTTTCCTATTGTGTCGACATGTCTGTCTCTCAAAACAGACTGTGAGCCTCCTGTGGTCAGGGAGTATGTATGTCATCTAGTAGTGCATAGCACACAGTAGGCACTCAACAGAGTGTGACTACATACAGAAACGAATGCCTTCGTGCATGCTTCCCGATTGTTCAGCTTCTGTCAGTATAAGGCTTGTACTGCTGGAGCAAAGTAGATATAACAAGCCACCAATATATTTTTATGCATTAAAACATACACAGTTGAGCCAAACAATTTTGCATTTTTAAAGACATTCAGTCAGAAGACTCTAAAGACTGGGGATATGGCTCAGTCAGTAAAGCACTTGCTTTCCACGAGGAGCTGAATTTGGCCCCCGTGTAAAAAGTTGTGCATGGAGACCTGTGCTCGTAATTCTAGCAATGGCGAAATGAGAGGTAGCGAAAGGAGGACCCTGGAACTCACTGGACAGCTAGCTTAGGCTAGTTTTTGAAGCTCCAGGCCAGAGAGACTCTGTCTCAAACAAGAGGCTCCTGAGAAATGATACTCAAAGTTATCATCACACACACATACACACAAACATGCTATTCTGGATTTTCCAGTACTATCATAATAGGAAGACATGTTGCAACTAAGTGAGGTTAGCCCTGTTAAAATGAATCCTGTCCATTGTTAGATGTAAGTAAGATGATATCCTTGCTATAGGACAGATGGCCAACTATAGCCCTAGGAGTTAGCTATGCCTATCACCAGTTAACCTGCATAAACACGAACCCTGGCTTTACCATTCTCAACAAATTGGGTTGATAATGATGATAAACAGACAAACACTATAGTAATAACTCTAGGGAACAAGAAGATGAAAAATGCACAGCAAATACACAGACCTCGGTGCTGTAACTACCGTTGTGTAAGCGACAGTCACCAATGCCAACCAGCAGAATGTCTCAGTCGTGTAAACCAATGCACAGCACCTCACAAGGCGTGAAGATACAGGCATGAAGATGTCCAGGCCAGTTATGCATGCCAGTAGATTTTGCTCTCTGGCTTGCAGTGGGGGTGGGGGGAGAAGTGGAGCTAACACTTGCTGTGGGAAGCTGATGAAAATGGTCCAAAGGAAAGAAAAGGACATCAGGGTTCCCACTCAAAGATGAAATGAAATGATAGGGAAAAAATCTATGAGGAAAAACTCAGACTACTCTTGTCCTTCATGGGCTACCACTATGGCCTCACTTATGGCCACAGAGGCCTGCTCCCTCTAGTACAAGGCTGAGGAGACCACTATCTGAGGAAGACAAACCCAGCACTCCTAAACAGGGAGCGATCACAATAAAGCTCTCACCTTGGATCCATTCCTAGTTGTGTAAGTATGTGGAGACAGTGTTAAACACCCTGCATCCATTTTTATTTGCAAGGTTAAAGCTTCTGAGTCATTATTACAGTGGGGCAGAGTCAAAAGGGATCCCACTGCTGGTGAGAATGAGAGCAAAGTCAACATCTAGAAAAGAGACGAGGAGACTGAAGTGCGTCACGGAAGCGCTGTGATCTGCCTTGCTCCTTTTAAAAGGATGCCTTCAAAGGACAGCAGCTTTCAAGCTCTGTTCCCATAGCAATCAGACTTCACTTGAGGATGTGTCAAATGCCTCAGCGGGCACCACAGCAGCCTCCCTGGAGGCTGACTCCCTTTGTTCCTTCAGTCTCTTTCTGCTTTTCTTTCTTTCTTTTGAGAGTCAGTGTTGGCACTGGGGCTACCATGTGAACTGAGGAAGCAGAAGTAGAAACAACAGTTGGAGGTGTCAGGGAGAACCCTGGGTAGAAACGAGGAATAGGAAAGGTGAGGGGAGCCGAGCTGTGGCGGCGCACACCTTCAATCTCATCACTTGGGTGTAGAGGCAGGTGGATCTCTGTGTGTTCAAGGCCAGCCTGGTCTACAGAACTACTTGCCGGACAGGCAGGGCTATCCCGAGAAACCCTGTCTCAAAAAAAAAAAAAAAAAAAGAAAAAAAGAAAAGAAAAAGAAAAAAGGAAACAGAAAAGGTTAAAGGAAGAAAGTTTGCCATTTTTAGCATGAGAGACCCTCTGGTTTTCTTTACTGCTTCAACGACCTTAAGTTCTAATATATTTTAGAGAGTTGCCATGGTGAGAAGAACATGACTGAGGGCTGAGAGAAATTTTAGATTGGGACAAAATATTTTCCCTTGGCCCCCACAAAAGCTTAGAAGACAGATAACCAAGTGTGGGGGGAGTCAGGAGAGATAATTTGAACTGAGTGTGTTGCTGTTCCAGAGTGTTGATCTAAGATGCACTCCAGAGTGGCTACAGATGTTGAAGATTTGAGATTAAACACACACACACACACACACACACACACACACACACACACACACACACACACACCCTAAAGTTACTTCAACAACCAGGGAAAGACATGAAGGCTGGTCTTCAGACATCCCAACCCAGAGGAGCATCTTCCAGGTCAAGATGGTTTGGATTCAGTTCTCCCTTTATCCAGAGGAATAAACGTTTGCCTTGCCCACATTTCTGAGGGGTTTGAAATAGGTATCAAAGGACACCCTAGGAAAATCCCTCCAACGCCAGACCAAACCTGAGCTCTCTGCTGAGCTGGCAGGACTCTGGCAGGAAGCCGTCTCCACAGCAACTGCAGAAACACCTGACTGGTGGGATGAACAGAACTGCAGATGGCCAAGGGGTTCCTTTGGACTCAGAGGAAAACGAGCAAAGAGTAAGGAGTTGAGGTGCTGGATACATGAAGTCGGCTAACTCGTGAACAGCCAAGAGCTCACAGGACAGCGTTCTACATCGCTGTTCTTGCCTACACGTCAGATAAGAATGCCATTCTTAACGGAGAAGGATAAATGGGGAGAACACAACTTTCTGTAATGCACGTTCTTCAAGACTTCACAACATGTTTGTGAGAGAAAAGGGATGGGATGGGGGGTTGGGGGGGGGAGCCCAGCCTGATTTTGATAGTCTGTTCAGCAGCAAGGATATTGCTACAACTTAATGGTGCATAAAAGTTTGGAAATATCAACAGACGATAGCACTCTAGTCTGGTCTTTTTGTCTGATTTCTCACAGGAGCAGCATTCATGGTTATAGGGGTAGATTTCTGGAGAACAGCTCAATAGTATTTATGCTTAGAATTCAAACTAGAGAGCTCAGATCTCAAAGTTAACAATTCCCAGCTTCCTTACTCCTTGTGTTTTTTGGGGGGGACTTTGCTATTCACACTGAAGATTTCCATAAGTAAAGATACACCCTTGAAAAAGAAGGAAAACTGATTCTTAGTCCCCTGGTCCTAAGAGTTTAACCATGTATTCAAGGGCCTCTTGTCACCCCTCATGTCTAATAGCTAAGGCCCTGGTCCTGAGCTACAGGAAGGGAAGAACAGGGGATGGTGGCTCCCACAGAGGCAGGCTCAGCAGGTCATGCACAGCCCTATTTCCTCTTCAGTCAGGGCCCTCCTCTTATCTTTGCTTAGTGCATTTCTCTTGGCCTGCTTTCTCTGCTGCTCCTGTACTGGGAATGTCCTTGTCTCTCATTGCTCTAGAGTGAGCAAGTCTCTCGCACCCCAGCAGGACCAGGAGGAGCCCGCTGCCCTCCATCTCCCCTAGCGGAAGCCCCGTGACTTCTCTCCCTGCATCTGTCACACCTGACTTCATGCTTCTATAGCAGAAGAATAATTCAAGGATTCCAAAGACAAGAGGAGCATTCTGGGTTCATGGCTAAAGTCCAAGCTCTCATGGCATAGAGAAGGCTGAGGGAGGCTGCTTCACCAATGTGCTCTGAGATGAGCAGAGGAGAGAGAGGAGACAGCTTGTCTGTGAGTCTGTCTGCTCCTGCTGGGGAATCACTGTGGACCAAACAGCTCCAGGACTGCCACACAGATGCATGATGCGTTAAGCGCCACTGTGTCTTCCGGTAGCATCCCTCTCTTAGAGGGCATTTCCTCATGTTCCAACCATCCATACCAGGTGGGAGGGGGAAGGAGCTGCCCATGGTTTAGAGATGGGGAAATCGATAGCCTTTCCCTAAAGGCCAGATGGCTTGCCCTCATCCTGGGCAGCAGGAAGGGAAGCTGTAACACTTAGGGGTCCGGATAACCAGGGCTCCACCATTTTCTACAGATGTGGTATCTTCTAAAAAGCTTTATTTTTTCATCCAGAATTAAAGCAATCAATATTCCACTCCTGTATTTGACGGTAGAGGCTAAGATAAAATACAGCCACCATGCTGGGCGCTGCTGATCCAATTAAGATACCGGTTTTGGCTTCTCATTAGAGTTTTGAACCCGCCTGAGATCATTATTAAAATCTGTTGTATTGCAGTTTGGATGTAAAGATTCTAACCTAGAAAGAAAGAGGACTTAGTGACTGAAGCTTGAAGGTGTCAAGGGTGGCAGGAAGTCAGTAGAAGAGCCAACAGCAGAGAAGCTTCTCTCTTCACAAACCATCAAACACAGGGCCCAGAACATCTATCAAATCCCAGTGGCCTCATTATGACTAATGACATGGCTTCTGGAGGGAAGCAGGGTGCACATGCCAGCCAGCCCAGCAATGAGCCATGTTGAAGAACAGTGAGCGTGGCCAGCACCTGGTCCTGTTACTGTTGACCGTTTTAAGCGTTCTATTTCCGTCCCATAGAACTCTGGCTTCTTAAGCAGGCCTGGAAGCTCACTCTGAAATCGAATGTGGGAACTCCTCTGCTTAATAATGTACCTTTGCTGAAGTGCACTCCTCCTTCACACTTAAAATGGTGGCACAGGGACCTCCTGGGCAGCAGGGAAGTCCTTTGAAGGCTAAAACCTGCCCCAAGTCCAGTGGCTCCTCAGGCATCAGGCTGGGCATCAGAGCGTCTCCACAGCAAGCCTCCTGAGGTGCCAGCCCACAGCAGCAACTGGGTCAGTACCAACTGACAGCTGGTACCCACTGCATGTGGATGGAACACCCTGGTGAACTCTTTGGACCGTTTGATGAAACTGTTACCCTAAGGTTCAGACAATGCTGTTAGATTGCCGGCAGGGGACTCGGGAGCCCGGGGCTTGTCAGCAGATCTGTCTCTGGACCCAGTGAGCTATTGGCTGACAGATACCACGTGAGTATATGGCAGAGCCAGTAGGCACACCAGGAACCTAAGGGCCACCAGTGTAAGGAGCAATGACACTGTAGCAGATGTTCAAGGACCACTGGGAGAAAGGACACATAGAACTTGAAGTTTCAATTTAATGAAGAGAAGGCCCCACAATTTGAATTTGAAAAATCTACACTCTTTATAAAAGGGTACAGAAGCCAAAGAAAAAAACCAAACAGGTCAAAAATATCTCACTATTGTCAAATATGCAAGATTTGGGATGGCTAGTTTAAAAACAACAAAAGTTAGTTGGATGTTGGCATGGGCTCTTTGGAGCAGAAGAAACACCCATTACCCTACTGCTGTGTTGTCCCTTAAGTGCTATGCAGGATCACACTGGAGAAAAACAAATGACAAAATGCTCATTTTTTGTCTCTTTGTTTCAATCCAAAAGTCAGATTTTCCCCCTGTTAAAGTATTGTACCATTAGAAGTTTTCTCCTCAAAAATAATTCCATGCTTTTACACTGTTTCAGATGGCATTCTAGGAAGAAATGTTTCAAACTTTGATTTCTCTGTAGCGAGGCTAACTGGATTGACCACCATTGTCTTTCCAGGGCGATGGCTCTGGGTTGTCAATCAGGGAGACAGTTAAGCGGTTGCTTGCTCCTTAGATGGATCATAAAGATTCTGAAGACAGGAAAGGACCACAAAGCTGGAGAGCGACTCACCTTGAGAAGTTGAGGAAGTGAACATGTCTCGTGAATAAATAGGGCTGTTCGGCCGTGCTGACATTCTTAATCAGTTCCATCTATTAAAAGGAGCACAGGGTTAGCGTGTGCAGCAACTAACTTCCCAAGCCACAGTAAGCTAATGGTTATCTGGCCTCCTCCTTCCATCCCCGCTTATTTCTTCCAGGCTGGAAAACCAAATAGCTGAACTTGTTGCAAAGTGTGAGCTCGTTCATAAGGTTATTTCATTAAGAAATAAGCTTTCTTTACATACTGATAGTGCTGTAACCAATTCAGTTGATTATTGCTAGGAAAGTGATGCAATTGATTAATTTTTTAAGTGTGTATGCGTACGGTGCATACACTCATGAGAGAGAGAGAGAGAGAAAGAGAGAGAGAGAGAGAGAGAGAGAGAGAGAGAGAGAGAGAGAGAGAGAGAGAGAGAGAGAGAGAGAATATCGACTTGCGAGTACAACCTTGGGTAAGTCCTTACTCTCCACCTTGTTTAAGGAAGAATTTCTTGGTCATTTTTCCTCTGTGTGTGCCAAGCTGTGCATGGCCTGTGAGTTTTAAGAATTCTCCTGCCCCTGCCTCCCATTTTGCTCCGGGATCCTGGAGATTTCTGGTGCTGGTGCTATATGCACAGGTTTTACATAGGGTCTGGACCCTCGAACTCAAGTCCTTACCTGTGGATAGTTAGCATTTCCCCCCACTGAGCCATCTCCTCCACCCCAGATTAAGTAATTTCCACTGGAGAAATGAACGTTTGCAGTACTGAAAATGCAGGGCAGAGAATACTTTTAATTGCCTTATTTAAAGTCACACCAGGAAAAGGCATTAATCATTTTATTATATTTCTGTGACATTATTGAGATTACAGAAATATTTCAAGCTAGTGTTGTAGCATTTAAAGTGGAAATAAAATAAGCACCTCTTATTATTTTTCTCTTTGATTATACAAATTTATAAGGAATATATTTCTTGGGGGAACTCACAGACCTCTGGAAATCTTGGAATCTTTTGGTGGGTGGTCATGTGAATTATTTATTTGCAGTTATCAGTAAGGCAAAACGCATTTTATATTCATATTATAAGCTGACTTTTACAGTCTCCTAGGACATGTCACGACACAGAAAATGTTTAGTGAAATGAGTTAGAAATTCCAGGAATTCTTAGTCCTCCCTTACATCCTGAATTCCTTCTCTAGAATTTCCAGTTGGCCCCAGCAAAATGGACATGGTTGTAGGAGGAAGTCTATGTCGCCATTAAACATGTGACTTACTAGAGGCGCATACAGATGAGGTAATAAAAGGGCGGTTTACCACACCGCTAACCACACCCACTTTAGGCAGGACTAAAGACGTATACGGCTGGACGTAAAGACGTATACGTACGTAGGCGGAACTACGTCACTAGCCAAGCCCACTTTTGGGCATGGCTAGGGGCGTTACGGGGGAAGGCATAAAAGACAGCGCACAGGAAGTCTCGCTCTCTTTTCCTGGAGTTCGGCTTCCGGTCCAGTCGCTAGCTGAGATCTGCTGGGCTTCTCGGGGTTTGGTATCGTGTGAGTAATTTTCAACATAAAATACTTAGCTTCACTTTCCGTAATTGTGTGTCGCGTATCGTTACAGCGTCCGTAAAACCAACAGTTTGGTGTCGGAGCGGGATTGGAATCGGGACCCAGGGCTTCTCTCGGCCCGACCAGGCACACGTGGACTCTCCTTTCGCTAAGTTCCTCACTACTTCGCTCGGCAAGGCACGATTCCTGCCGCCAGGAACCAGCACCTTCTACCTGCCGGTAAGGTTAGGCGGAATTCCAAGGTTTCTCTCGCGGCCACGTGCTGTTTTACTGGCGGCCAGCTGACTCCGGCCACGTGCTCTTTCGCTGGCAGCCTGTTGATTTCGGCCTGAATTACTCCATTGGTAACAAACGTAACTGCTTTATACAATGTCAACAGCTAACACTATGATGCAGGATGTTAAGAATTTTCTTGGTTTTTGTATGGATGGGATTTTAGAAAGGGTTGAGGACCTACCTGAAAGGTGCTTCCTACCCATGATGGTGATTATTAGCTTCATAATCAATATAATTTTGTTAATGAAATGGTTCAAAAATAGGAATAAACTTATACAGGTCATGCAGTCATCACAGGATAGTTTTGAAATCTTAATACAAAGGATTCAGGAAATGCAAAATTCATTGCAGGAGAGTAAGAAAGGGTTGGTAGAAAATATTCAGGATATTAAAAATGATAATGTAGGTCTGACGAACAGGTTTAAAGAGACGGAACACAAAATTGAATTATTTTCAGGAAAAATGTGTTCCATAGATAGAATTGAAAAATTGGAACATAATGTGGAAACATTTAACGACAAACACGGTTCCATGTTTGATGATTTCACTAGCAAATTACAAAGACTGGAACATAAAATTGAAATGCTAGCAGAAAAGAATTGTTCCATGTCTAAGAGCAATGATAAACTAACTGATAGAATATCATTTGTAGAAGGCAGTTTACATGCTATTGAGGTACTTGCTAAGGATGAGACTATTAGAAATTTGGAATCACATGTAAACGATGAATGTAAAAAAATGAAAGATTCCATGACATCCTTAGAAAATCATTTGTCCCAAGAACTTCAAGAGCTCAGAGAAACAATGATGAATAGACTGCAGGATTTAGAAGACGCTCAATCTGATACTTCAGAATCAGAAATACAGGCAACAGGTCAGGACAGGAGTTTCCCAACGCTTCTCAAATGCCGGAATGATTTCCCTAAGGTTGCTATGCGTTCCCCTATGGTTTTTCCAGTATCTGTATCAGAAAAACCAGCAACGAAAAACAATCAAATGGTCCCATTGCTTATCACTGGGAGCCTATACAGATGAAGGATCTAAAAAATATTAAGGAGGCCATTGTCATGTATGGTCTTCATTCTCCCTTTGTCAGAGAGCTCCTAACCTCATGGGCTACTGTAAATAAAGTAACCCCAAAAGACTGGGCCCAATTAGCCTCTGCAGTACTCGAAAATTCTTGCCAAATTCAATGGAGAGCTTTGTGGAGGCAAGAAGCAAAAGCAATTGAGATTCAGGAATTGCAGAACGGTCATGAAGTACCCCAAGACAAGATTCTTGGGGAGGGTCCTTACGCTGACACGCAGGTTCAATCTGCATATGATGAGCACATGTTGTCTTTGTGCCGTACAGCTGCTTTAAATGCCTTGGATAAGGTTTGTGAAACAGGAGAGATAATGCAGCCCTACACCAAGGTATTACAGGGCCCAAGGGAAAGGTTCACTGAATTTTTAGAGAGATTATCCAGAGCAGTAGAGGTACAGGTAGCGAACCCAGAATCCAGGCGTCTCCTTATAGAATCTTTGGCGTATGAGAACGCGAATCCTCAATGCAGGCAGGTAATTTGGCCATTAAAAATAAGATCAGCGCCATTGGAGGAATGGGTTCTGCATACAGCGAACCTGGAATGTAAAAGTCAGGATACAGGAGCTTGGGTAGGTGAAGCTATTTCTACAGGTTTGAGGAGGCACCAGGATGCCAAATACCCTACCTGTGATGATATAGAGGCATGGGTAGGGAAGGCAATCTCAAAGAATTTAAATAGGCGTAAAGATGCAAAATGCTTTAACTGTGGTAGAATAGGACATCTTAGTAGGAACTGTAGACAACGCATTCCTAGAAATAATGCTTTTACCAGGAATGTATCAAACAGAAGGCCTAAGCCTCCTGGTCTATGCAGGAGGTGTGGGAAGGGGCGCCATTGGACTGATGAATGCTTTTCCACAATAGACAGACAAGGTAGATCTTTACAGCAGGGAAACGGGCTTCCGGGCTCCATGGAGCCCCGAAGAAGAAGATTATCCGGTCATTCCCAGTGACAGTGGAGGACAGCCTCTCCCAGGACAATTAGAAGATCCACTGCCCATTGTAAATAATACGGCACTGGATAATACATTAGCTCCAGAGGATGAATCAATTACATCAGGAGGAGATACAAAACATATATTTTGGCAAACTTCTATACAATATCATAGACCCAAACTTCCGGTTAAGGTAAATAATAGGGTGATTTACGGATTACTGGACACCGGAAGTGACGTCACTATCCTTAATCAGCAGTCCTGGCCACAAAACTGGGCTTTAAAAGAGGTTAATGTTCAATTCTTAGGGATCGGAACCCTATCTGAAGTTAAACAGAGCGTTAGATGGATTGACTTTATTGGGCCAGAAGGACAGAGAGGAAGGTTAAAGCCATACGTTGCAGATATTGCTATAAACCTCTGGGGTCGTGATCTACTCCAGCAATGGAATACGCAGATTAAAATTCCTCCTGTATCAGCTAGGAATTATAGACAAGCTCTTAGTGGTAGTAAGAATATAGTAAGACAGTACAGAAAACAGATGCCAAATGTACAGGCTGTGCAGAAGCAAGATGCTAGTGCCAAACCTACAGAGCAACCAAAAGCTCTACCATTAAAATGGCTGACAGATGAACCCGTCTGGGTGGGTCAATGGCCTATGACATCTGAGAAGTTAGAGGCTTTGGAGAAGTTAGTTCAGGAACAGCTAGATGCTGGACATATTGAGGAATCAACTAGTGCGTGGAATTCGCCTGTTTTTGTTGTCAAGAAGAAGTCTGGTAAGTGGAGAATGGTTACTGATCTTAGAGCCATCAACAAGGTAATTCAGCCTATGGGGTCTCTACAACCTGGGATGCCGTTACCTTCTCTAATTCCTAAGGATTGGCCAATTATAGTTATAGACTTAAAAGATTGTTTCTTCACCATACCGTTACAAGAAAACGACAGAGAAAAGTTTGCCTTCACAGTACCTACCTATAATAATTCCCGTCCGGTACAGAGATTCCAGTGGAAGGTACTACCTCAAGGTATGTTAAACAGTCCAACTTTGTGTCAATATTTTGTGAATAAACCTCTAGAAATAATTCGTAAAAATTTCCACATTCGTTAATATATCATTATATGGATGACATATTATTGTCTGATTCAAATAAGGATACTTTGGAAAAGATGTTTGAGGCAGTAAAGGAAATTTTGCCTCGCT